GATACTCTCCAAGAAAATAGACAATTAAACTGTTCGATGAATCATTGTTTTCACAAGTAGGATTCTTCTACAAGCAGAGATACATTATATAAAATTTCCAAACTGAAGAACACCTGGCCTCATGTATTTGAGTCAGACTTTGAAATAAATCACTTTTCTTCAGCAGATCTCATAGTGACCACTGTCTGGATGCTGTTCTTCCTCACTTTCTTCTGATAAAGAGATCACTCTGAATCACCCTTTGAGTATATATTTCAAGGTTATGAATTAAAGCCAATGCTGGATTTTGTTCACTAATTAAATGATCTCTTCATGACTCAAAAAATTAATGCTTTGGAGACTAATTTTTGAATAGTCATTTCCTTTATGAAACAAAAATCCACCAGATAGTTGACATGGGAAGAAATCCATTGATATTCAATATATGATTCTTGTGTTAAATGGTTTAACTCTGTTTAAACTATATTAGTCATGGTTGACGAGAAGAGTCTGGTCACTTTTTCACCTGAGCTGCTTCAATTGAATCACATGTGATGATGCAATGATATGGTGATGGGACTCACAGTAGTGAGACAGGGCAGTGAGAACCTGGAACTATCTGTCGGCCTTCGGGCAGAATATCTTATTTGCAATAGAAAATGGTATTTGATGGGTTTGTAGATAATACAGGCAGAGGTATTGATAGGCAGAGCTATCTGAAAATATAGCAAGAATATAGATAGAGTGTGAGAGCAGGAGAAAGACACTGGAACTCCCGTGAGTTCTGAGTATGAGGAGAAGCTAGTCAGCGATTGTAAGTCCACCTCCAGCTCCTAGAGGAACAGGGTACAAGGCAGATTCCTCAGAGACAGTTGCATCAGGGGAATGGCTGGGATACAGTTAGATCGTGGAGCCTGAGGCAAAGAATGTGATCTTGTGAAGAAAGTGGAAATTCACTAATGATAATTGGGACCCAGAATTAGGGTCAGACTGAACTAGTTGGGGCAAGAACTTGCTGCAAGCTGCCCGTGTGGTGAACCTTAACTTATTGAGTCCTTCTGCCTTGCATCTCCTTTGATAGAAACCAAGGTACGTTTGACCTTAAAACAAGAGTGGCAAGGTTCCACCTGAAGGGAAAGAAGAAAATCAGAGGACAGGAATTAGGTAGGACCCAACAATACAAGGGAACACCAGCATATACACATTTAACTTACAGAAATAAATTGCTTTGCTCACCTAAAAGACTGAGTGGGAAATGCCCTCTCATTTGTAACATTTTGCTTTCATTGACCTAAAGAAAGAAAGGTTGCAAAACAGAAACTGAGGGCTACTTAAGGCATTCTTGAAAGACACTTTGACTACATGTGATTTTTGTTTCACATGCTCTTCCTGAAGCTGAACTCCACATAATATGTGACTCACTCTAGGCTACTAATAAAAAGGAAAGCCAGGAAAAGAGAGTTTTTTTGTTTGCTGGAGGATGCTGCTTTAGGAAAACTAGAAGAACAAAGAACTCTTAGTGGATGTTCTTGGAACCAAATACTTTTCAGCAAATACTTATTGAAGCCCAAATATGTGCCACAGGCACTGGGAACACAAAGAAGAATGGCACAAACTGCCTGCCTTGAGAAAAGAGCAGAGGAATGAAAAGCTGTGTAACTAGATAATTTGAATACAAAATCATGAAGGATGCAATTGGGGCATTAACAAAATATAGAGGGAGTTGTAGGAGGTAATGGTTGTTTCTATCTGTGGTCCAGAAGGCATCAGGCTCTTGGTTGCTTTGAGTTCATTGGAATTAGGAATAGAGGCATTCTTGACAATAAAAGCACCTTTCATTTGCATGGCAAATTAGAGTTTTCAAGGCATTTTCAATATATCGTCTTATGTGCTACACAAAGAGTCCATTAATGCAGGTGTTGTCCTGCATTCCTATTTTACACAAGAGGAAACTGGCCCTGAACAGAAAAGTGACTTACTCAAGCCATAAAGAAGGTAAGTAGGAGGACTGGTCTCACCTCACATTAGAGAGCTTCCTAGTACATTGGGCCTAACTGCCTTTACAATTGGGGAAGTTGAGATTAAGATACTGACTCAATAATTTAGCAAGGCAGCATCAACATAGTGACAAAGACTCTCTTTTTGACTAAACTTTAGACAGGTTCCTCTGAGCCCTCTTTTTGACTAGGCCTCGTCCTTGGGCCTTATCTTTGGCAGCCTTGTCTAGTTGTAGCAAAAATCCTACTTAAATCAGTTTGGTGAGAATTCCTCCATCCTTGATATCTGAGAATTCTTACTGAAGGCAGGCTAGGATTATAAGTCATGTTAGCAAGAATCCCCCTACCCTGGATGCCACCTTTTGGTAATTTTCCACCCACCAGCCCCTCACTCTGCTTGTTGGCTATAAATCCCCAGCTGTCTTTGCTATATTTGCAGTTGAGCCTGATTTCTCGCCCTTATTGCAATAGTCTTCAATAAAACCTTCCTTACTATTTTAACAAGTGTCAGAAAATTTTTTCTTTAACAATAATATTGTGAAAAGATAAACTGAAGCATATCAAAAATCGTCAGCTTTCAGCAGGGACAAGAGTAAATAGCCCTGGCAGTATGGAACAACCCCATGGACACAAGAGGTAATCCCCAAGAGAGTACAAAAGATTCTACCTGCCCAAGATCCAGAGCCACTCTCAAAGATAACCAAAAGAAAGAAAGACTTGGACAATTCTCCTGAGAGGTGGCAAGAGTCAGTGGGACCCTTGCCGCAAACGGGGTGCAACTCACATTTCTCTCCGGCCGTATTTTTGGGGCCCCCAACCTGATGTTTGAGCTACCTGCACATGCAAGAACCTGCATGCCCCAGTCAGGAAGAAAGCCAAGCCAAGTTCTCAGGACACAAAATGAGATAGACAAGAAGGCAATAACTGTCCCCAGGAGAGAAAGATTCACAACCAATGGGAACCCAAAAGCAAATTCACAAGTCACAATCCAAAGACCTAATTCTTACAAATGTTTTTTGCCTACAATGTGTAAGGAAGGGACAATGTGAAATTTTACGTTCCTCTCTTGACCTAGAAAAGCAGCCTTTGATAAGAAGTCCTACCTTTTCTGGCTTCTGCCATTTTCCCCAGAGTTCTACAGGCTCTGGAGCAAGTGAAGTGTCCCGGTGGGTCTCATCATGCTCACGAGAAACCTTAGAGGAGGAAAAATAATTTCCTCTGAACCCCTTAGAGTGAATGCTTAGCTGAGACCCCTTTTTCTTTAGGGCCCCTGTAAAAGGATATGCTTATCTAGGTTAAAAGTTCTCCACTGTGGCCTCTGGAATTCAAGATTATCTTTGATAATGTTAACCTGCTTGTTCAGCCTTAAAACAAAATTTTATTCACCTGAGGTCTCACACTGGCCCCAGTCCAGCTTAAATAGAAACCAGTCTGCTCCTGGGCGCGGTCCGGTTTTTGAGTCGGACCGGTTCAACTCCAGCAGGTTTACCAGACTTTGTTCTGAATAAGAAATCACAAAGTCTGAAAGCTCATCACCCAAAAGCTGCGGAGCCAGGACGCGAGAGGGACTTACCCACGACCCGCTGAGGCAGCGAGAAAGCTGCAGCGGAGCTCAGGGCCTCCACAGGCGCCACGGCTGGTTGCTCGTAGCTCCTGGGGGCCTTTGGAGGGGGTCGCCCTCGGTTCCCTCTTCCTACTGTTACTAACAGAACTGCTAAGATAAACTGAGGCATAGTAAAATCTTTAAAAATTTATTTGAGCAAAAATCAATTTGAATTGGGCAGCATCCAATCCAGCAGATAGGAGCTATACAAAATGAAAAGACTTTTATAGGCAGAAGGGAGCAGGAACAAGAAAAATAAACTAGGCAAAAAAGCGGGTTGGCTACCGGAAAGTTACTTTCCTTTAGGGAGCGGCAGGGGTCTATCAGGCAGATTAGCTAACCTAGTGCTGATCAGGCAGGTCCTGATTGATTTAAGATTTCATATCTGGGAGAACAGAAACTGTAATTAAGTCTCAGTTTGGTGTTGTGGGGCTTAGCATACGCTGCTCCATTTTGGGCCTGTCTTGTTTTTAATAGTATCTAAAATTGAAATTCTGCTCATAAACCAGCTGAGACTAGCATAATATAGAAAGAGTAACTATTTTCCCCCATGAAAACATATTAATATATTTTAGGCTTGGTGTAAATAAAAACATTGTCTTTTTCTTTAATTTTATATGCCCACTAAATATGGTGCATTTATATAAATGTTCAGTAAAATTTAGTGAATCAATGTATCTATATTTGCCAGGTGAAATCATTTATATTAGTCTTATTACTAACGATGCATCTTACTTTTATAAACAGTGTATGTCATAGTTAATGACTTACCATTAGTCTTAGTAAATCACTAATCATAGTCTTAAAGTTATTCATGACAAATCTATTTGATTTGTTTTGTTACACAAATGAAGGGCAGCGTCCACCAGAGGAGTTAATGGCTGGAATAGGCACCAGAGGAGTAAATGGCCATTCTCTTTCAATCTGCCTCCAAATGTTTCAAACTAGGATGGGAGCATCACTTATTATGCCATAGGGAATAAAAACAGTTTTCCCTCTGCAGCCTTTTTCTTAGATGTGGTTATTTACTGGTGGTAAATATCTAAGACCTAAGTTCATTTGAACAAATTGAAAAGAAAAACCAATTCACAATTTCTCAAACCGTTCTTTAATCTTATAGGTAATAATAGCCAAAAAAGAGTTATTTACTTCTCACTCTGGTTTTAGACCTGTTTTAATATCTGTGGGGAATTATATAAAAAATTATAGATCTAGTGCCTGCCCTGAAGGAACTTATAATCTAAAAGTAGAAAGAGAGTACACAAAAATGAAAGATATTTAGAGGCAAAACCAATTTACACTTTCCTATTTTTAGAGGCTCCAGGGAGAGCAGACATTTTCATTGCACGCTGCGCTCATAACTTTTGGAGGAAAAAGATCAATACCTTTTTCTATGCTGCCCGCTTAGTGAATTCTGGGATGTGAGCAGTGAAGAATGAGTTTACGAAGTGAGTCACAAAGAACTCACAAGCTTAGAGGAGATTCTCAGTTGAGATTTCCGAAAGCAAAAGAAAAGAGACAGACACATACATTACATTGGTACATTTTTGAGAACCAGGAAATGTACAAGTGCGGTTCCCCTGGCAACCTTTGTGTAGAGTGTGAGAGTCAGCGCAGCAGTTTCTCCTGTTTTCATGCTGCAATCAAGAACTTGATTGTTTCGGTAATGTGATTATTTTGTGTTTCTTCTTTTTTCTTTTCCCTTGTGCTTCTCTTACATCAAGGTCTAAAATCTGGTGGTGGTTCTTAATTTGAGAGAAGTGCAAATTCTTGGGAGCAAAGTAGGAGTGGAAAGAGAAATGAAAAGAAAGTTTTAAAGACTTACCTTCTAGAAAGTGAAATGTGTGTTTGTAAAATCAAATTTTCCAAAGAGGAATTCCTGAATAATAACAAGAACATTATTCAAATTCTATTATCTGAAAAGGTAGTTTAAATTACAGGCAGCCTAACTAGGGGCACATAGATTATATTACAAGTGAGCAGAGTTGTGTCTGGTTATAAAAGTTAAAAATGCAATTGCTATGCCTTTTCTATGAGGAATGTTGCACAATTTGTCTAATCAATGTTTCCTCCAAATGGACTGAAAGTGAAAGATTACCCATTAACCTCCTTTTGGCTTCACTTGTCTCCCTTCAGACTTCTGTTTCTGCCCTGGTTAGGCCCTTCTTAGCACCTTTGGATCCCATGACTTCTTAATCTCCCATCATTCCCAATTTAGTTAAACCCTATCACTCGTGTGTTTTGTTTTGCCTTGTTTTGTTTTAACAACTCTCTTGATCTTGTTCCACTAAGCGCTGCTGGAGAAATTCAGGCTAGCTTGCCAATTGAGTTCTGTGCACTTAGGCCCTCCGTGCTGTTCTGTTATCCTTTTATTCACCATTAACTAACTTCCTAAAGCATTTTCTGCAGCAGTTGTTCTAATCCTTTTTCGATTTCCTCCAGCTGCCAAGCACACTATTGTCTTCTTCAGTCTAAGTAAACATTTTTCTTTTTACTTGATTGGTAAGACAGACCTTAAGGAGTGACTTTCCTAAATCCTCTTGTCTTTATCTAAAAATTCTCCATGAACTTTTAGCTGATGATCCCAGCAAGAAAAAAATGGCATCCTCAAAGTAGGATAATTCAAGATGGAGGATTATTAAAGGGACTCTTAACAGATATAGGGGCTGTGGAGTAACCTCGGGGTAGTAATCTCTACGCCCAACTGAACAACTGGAAGGAGCAGTCACTGGGTTTCAAAAGGAGAGGGTTCTGTAGATTTGGCCTCCTTGAGGGGAGCAGTGACCTTCAGTTGAGGGATGCAGCCAGCTCAAGGTGGCTCTGAGATGAGAGAGCCAAAACCTGATTTCTCTCTCCTTCCTTCCTCTGATCTCTTGCCTGTTTCCCTCCATTGCCTGCTGATCATGTCCATACGTCAGCAGGATGGAGTTTAGAGGGACAAATAGAAATCATCTAGCATAGACCTGAACAAATGTTTTTGTTGTGTCTACTATATAAAAACATACCATTTTAGATTTCATAAAGGGTAAAGAATTGGTCGTGCTCTCGAATTCTGTAGAAGCTCAGATCCTAGAAGGGAAAATGTATACACCTGTAAATATGTAAGCCACACATAAAGGTATGTAAACAAACATATGCGTAAAAATATAATTCAAGATAAAGAAGGGTATTATAAGGTAGCCACATATTAATTGCTGTGGCAATCGAAGCAGGTGAGAGATTACTACTAGATAGGAAAATCATGGAATATTTTTATGCGATTGGGACCTGTAAGAGTGAGGAGAATTTACACGTGTGGAGATAGAGATGCAGAGAAGGCATTCTAGTCAAAGAGAGCAGCGTGGGCTAAGGCAGTGAGATGCGAAAACGTGGCGTATATATAGAAATATACACTGGGCAAGAAGTTGTGAAGTTGGGCAGGCTGCAGAGGCAGTTTTGCGTATAGTTGAGAACTGATTCTAACAAAAGCTCACTCTCCTGTGCCTACTATGTGGCATCATCATACTGAGTGATTAACATCCATTAATACTTTCCATGTAACTGATTCATGAAGCAGATACTATTATCCCCATTTTACAGAGGGTGAAACTGACTCTTAGGGCAAGATTAAATAATTTCCCCCAAAGTCACAAAACCAAAAAGTGGCTTTCTGTGAAGATTCGTGACATAACATATGTTAAAGGCAAGCAGAGCACCCTACATGTAGCATATGTGCAGTATATGTTAGTGAGCATTAACCCCTGAACCATCCTGACTTTTGACTTGTAAAATTAATCTGACTGCAGCATTGGATGAATTAGAGGTAGAGCAGTGCTGGGAGGGAGATCATAGGGCTGTTAATGGGGATAGTTATGGCAGAAATAGATCACATAAGTTGGGTTTGAGAAATATTATTGTGATCAGGTTGATGTAATTTGGAAACTGATAAGATGGGAGCTAGAAAGGAAGGGAGAAAGATAGGAGAGTCCTCCAATAAACTATGTTTGCTTTCTCTGTTCCCTTTGTCTACAGACAGCTTCCTGATCTCCTTGATGATCCACACTGGGCCATTTCTCTCATCATTCTCTCTTGTTCCCACTTGGTAAAGTAGGATCATTGTAAACTGTTTTTTATTATATTATCTGCAACATCTCTTGTAGTTAGTCTCAATTCAAGCTTTTCTTATTAGAGTTTACTTAGACCATTGTAATAATCTTCTAAGTGTTTTCTTTTTTTCCTTTTTCTCTTCTAAAGATTTCTCATCTCAACTTTTTTCAGATTTTTAAAAATGTATAATCATTTCCTTTTCTCATTGAAAAGTTTCAATGGCTCTCAGTTAGCTAAAGGATATGCCAGTAATATACCATACAATGAAATGTTACGTTGCAGTTAAAAAAGATGAGATAGATCTCTCTGTACTTTCATGAAAAAATCTCTACGTAAAAAAGAGAGTGAACTATATGTATAATGAGAACCTATTTTTATGTTGAAACAATTTATATCCAGTATGTATTTTACACCCATTTGTATATGTATGTATAAAAGTGGTAGAATACATACCAATTTACTCCTTCTTCAGTAGTGGGGAGGTGGTTTTCAGTGTCTTATGCGTACTTTTGGGTTTTTAAAAATCTTTTACGACAAGCTTTATTACAGAAATATAATTAAAGTTTAAAAGGAGAATAAGACACAAACCCCTGGGCTTGAAATTTAAGGCCCTTCAGTTCTGAGCCTGAGTTGTTTTAACTGTCTATCCTAACCTCTCACTATGCTTGGACATCTTATTCCCTAATTAGAAAATATGTGGACCACAGCCTAGCATTCCTCTTTGCCTCACTCACAGAAGCTATGGCTAATTGCTTGTGGGAGTTTTTCCTATCGAGCCTGGATATAGCCATATAATCTTTTATAACTTCAGATATCTACTAAAAATTGGTTATGGGAGATGGAAAGTTTGCTAACTCAGATGTATAATCTGATCAAATTGAACTCTTCACTCTGTCCTGAACTCATTCTTTTCTTTCTTAACTCAAGGCCTTTTCTTATGTGATTCCTTCCAACTGGTAGACATTACCCCCACTATCTCCCTATTGGAGATACTGAAATCTGCTCCTTTATGAGGGCTTTCCATTGTCCATGTTGGACATAAGCTCTTCTTCTTTCCTTGTTTGTAGGCATTTTTCAAATTTTTTTAATGCATTCACATTTTTGCTTTATTTTAGATATTGTGCTATACATTTCAAGAAGCCATCACACTTGTTAATGGTTCTCTTATGGTGCCTTGATTACAATGAATGATCAGTCAACACTTGTCAAATTAAAACGTATTTGGCTTTATGTGTAGAAATGCCAAGAAAAAGGTTAGTATCTAGATCCTTAAGTTAAGCATGCCTGTCATCAATATTTAAACAAACACGTAATTTAGGTTTCATAATCAATGTCTAGATTCATTAAATCGCTGCCTATATTAGGCCCTTCTATCAATTCTATTACCAATATTTATATCTGGAGAAGTGGAATACCACCCATAAAAGTTCTTTAGGAAATTGTTTTCAATCTTTCCATAGTTATCTTTTGCTGAGGAAAGGACGCATTTGTTATTAAAGAGCAATGGATTTTAGCAGATGTATAGACTTTTAAGAAATATCACAGCTCCACACAAACTACTTAAACAAATTCTGTAGAGCGGAAGGAACTGTTCTGGTCTAGGAAACGGATGAAGATGAAGATATTTTTGTTTCTGAAAATATACATAGGATTATAATTACATTTTGGTGACACTGAGGTGGTGAATGTGTGAAAACTATAAAACTAAGTACATCCCCAAATTATGTGCATTCAAATAATATAGGCAAAAGGCTTTTATGAGAAATTTCACAGTCTCATATGTCACCTCCTCTGGAAAGCATTTTCCAGTTTCCTCTGGGCAGACAAAATTATTCTTTGGTACGGCTATGGTACTGTCTTCAATCACATGTATAAAAATTATTGTCCTGTATTTTAGAATTTCAAATTACTTATGTCTAGACCAGTTTCCCAACTCAGATTATAAGCTCCTTGAGTTTAGGAGCTGTTTTTGTTTCCTTTACGTTCTAGGTACCTAGCAGTGTTTAGCAACTTAAACACTGTGCTTGATAAATATTTGTTGAGTCAAAGAATGGAGACTCACGAAAACTGACCCTGCTGAGTTCCATCTGCCTTCCAGCTTCCGCTCACTCATCTAGGCTGTGAAATCTCTTCTGCTTCTTTTTCTTCTTTCTTTCTTCATCTCAGGAAGAATTGATTTTTCCTTCTTTTGTTTTACCTCTATACCTGGATATACTTCTACTACAGTATGTAACCCACTAAATTCTAATTATTTACAAGTCTATCATTCCCAATATAATCTCTGTATAAGCTTGTAGGCATACAAATGTATTTAGATATCCCCAGATTCTACCATAATAATTGGTAATTAATGTGTTTGAATGAATGAATGGCTGAATGAGTAAACTAATTTAATTTTCTTTGATTTTGTACATTAGCTCTTAAAATGATCGCTCTCAAATAATGTTCTAATGTTCTTAATCCCTATCTTTTCACATTATCAGTGTCCATCTATTTGTTTAACTATCTACCATTTGTCTCTCTCCATCCTTTTATCTATCCTCTCTCTTGTTCTTTAAAAGTGGGGAGGGACTATCT